ATCTATCTATCTATCTATCTATCTATCTATCTATCTATCTATCTATCCCTTCTACTCAAACAGCTCTGGGTATGTAGCCCAACAAAAGCACAAAAACATGCAGGTAAAATTTAGAAAAGTTGAAATATGCCAGCTAGAAATAACTATCTTTAACCTGGGGGTTGGGGGAAATACATAAATTGGATTCTACTTCCCTAAAGCCTCAGAAAAGAACCAGGTTTTTTAAAGGCCTTCTGAATGGCCAACAAGGTTGGGGTCATGTAAAACTCAGGGAAGAGAATGTTCTACTGTCAGTCCACTGGTTGCGTTTTTGGATCAAGGAGGGTTCTGTAAAGTGAGCATCTCCCAAGGTGGACCTTCGTAACATGTGCTACCACATGAGGAGAGAGGGCAGGTGTGTCTCCTCTTATCTCTTGACCTTGTCAGATGCATCTTCCAACCTCTGCACTCACCCAACAGAGCCTGAGGAACCCAGAAGACTCAGAGGAGAAGAAGAAATAGAGACAACTTTGCTCTCCTTTGGTGAAACTGGTCTGCACATGCGAGCCAGATCAACATATCTTCACGGAAGATATGCTTCTGGATCCAGCCAATACACTGAGCAAAATGCAATTTTGGGTGTGTGTGTGCCAGTCTTAGCACCATCTACAGACCCAGTCACTGTGGTTTATTCAACCCACCATGATTAAGCACATCAAGGCCTCGCACCACCAACTGATCTGCTGGAATGCTGCCTGAGGTTCCAAGAAGATGCATCAGCTTAAATGCAGGAGTTGGGTGTGTAAGCGGTGGAGCTGGGGAGAAGAATGTTGGTCCCATGGTTTAGGGTGGCTGAATCCATAAGCACCCATACTGCCTTTACCCTCCTGTATCATGTAGCTATGTGAGAGAAGACCAGAGGTGGTATTCAGCAGGTTCTGACCAGTTCTGGAGAACTGGTAGCGGACATTTTGAGTAGTTCAGAGAACCAGCAAATACCACCACTGACGGCCCTGTCCCCATCTATTCCCTGCCTCCCGAGTCCCAGATGATCAGCTGAGTCTTCTTTTGTTGCCCTGCACAGGAGAACGGAGCTGGAAAGCAGGATAGTGGGGTGGGGAGGGAAGGGGGATTTTGCAGTATATCCTTCCCCTGCCACACCCACCAAGCCACGCCCACCAAGCCGTGCCCACAGAACCAGTAGTAAAACCTTTTGAATCCCACCACTGGAGAAGACACTTGTTATATAGGACTGAGATGAGCTGTAAGATAACAGTCTCTTGGGGTTGGCTCAGGTACTGCCAACAATACAGAAGTGGTTGACTTTATATGGCACGGTTCCCTCAAAAATCATCAAAATAAAATTCAAGAAAAAAGACATCATGACATCTTAATAGGACTGTGCTAAAGCTCCATCTGCAAACTTTGGTAACGCTTTGTGCTGTTTTGGGGTTGGAGTGCCAAGAGAGACTTCATACACATTTAATCTGGTTGTATATAAAAATAGGAATTTATTATAGGTGATAGGAATTTACTATAAGTAGATACTCTTATATCGATGCATACACAGTAATATAATATACAGAGATGTGGGCAAATAATTTAATATTTCTAGACTGCCTTTGTTGGCCTAAATAATTTTCTGCCTCCAATATGGCTGACAGCAAAATATCAAACTGTTGTACCATGGGAACTCTTTGGAATGTGTTAAAAGGAAGCAGTTTAAGCCCCAAGGACAGTTTAAAAACAATTTTGTTTTAAAACTTCCCCATCTCCAGCACATGGCCCTGGGATATCCAGCTGTTCTCCCTCTCAAGCATTAACCAGGTTTGGCTCTGCTTAGATTTTTTTTTGAGTTCAGCCAAAGTTGGCTAGAAACTAACCGCTACCCAGGAAAAATTCTACCTGCTAAAAATCCCTTCTCTTCCGCTGGATTTTTTTTTTTTAATGGAAAACCTACGTCTCTTAGCTGTGATTGAGGGAGACCAATTAACCACGCGGAAACGTGATTCCAGTGAATTGAAATCAAAGGAAGCCCAATACATTTATTTAAGGACCAAAGTAAACTCCTCTCCAAGTTTCCTTGGAGATGTCACAGTGAGGACAGGACCTAACTCTGAAATAGTCTTGGATGCAGAAGTTGAAGTCCACATGTGACGTTCCAATTAAATTGATTTATTACTATGCAGATAAATGTACTCAACTAATGATTAGCACTATTTTGGCACTAACTAAGGGTCAGCAGAATTCAAGAGGGGTTGGCTTTGTTCATTTGTGGCTATGTAGCAATTCTAGGCTAATTCCTCTTTTGATTCCACCCTCAGGTTCTGCCACTCCTTCCCTTACACCTTCCTAGCTGTGTTTTGCTCGGGGATGTAATCCCTAAGCAGGAGACCACAGGTTCAGATTCTCCACATTGAAATTGTAATCAATGTAATCTGCAAATCCAGAGAGGGTGGCTCAAAGAAACTCCTGCTTGGTTGATTAATTCTGCTTTATTCTGC